TTTATAATCTTGCCAAGGTGAACGGCCCGATCCCATAAGAGTAATTTATAATTCTGCCGAGGCGAACGACTCAGTTTCGTAAGAGTAGAGAAACTCTCTGGCTCGCGAAAATGCATATGTGTCGAGTAGACACAAAACTACCGTTCATCAAATATTTCACAATTTCCAAAGTAAAAGACTCAGTCAATATTTTATTCTAGTCTCAATCTCAGTCATAACTTAAAGAAAATAAATACACAAGATTAATGCAAATAGCACATTTAAGGCATGATGTGAATATAAGTCTACCGGGACATAAACATGAATCTAGCTACGTACGGACTCTCGTCACCTCATGCATACGTAGCTCCCACAACAAGTAGTACACAACAACCAATACACTTATGAGGATAATTCTCTACAAGATTAGGCAAGAGACTTACCTCACTTTCAAACTCACTACTCGGCTCTTAAACCTCACTAGAAATCCCCAATCGATGCCGAGTAATATGAAACTAGTCAAATATCGTACAAACTAATCAATATATACTCAAAAAATCATAATTCATCTATTAGAGTAATTTTATTAACCCAATTAAGAAAGTCCATAAATGTCACCCCTGGGCCCAAATGCGTTGATTCCGAAAATTTTTGAAATCAAATATATAATTTATTCCAAATTCCATAATCAATTTCATGGTCAAATCATATTTTTACCAAACCCTAGGTTTTTCAATAAAAATCCCAGAATTCCATAATTTATATGTTAAATCTACCCATAATCTATGTATTTAACTCAAGAACTGGTAGAATTCACTTACCTTGGGATGTTGATGAAAATCCCCCTCAAAAGAGCTCTCAAATTCGTCCAAACCAAGTGAAAGTGTGAGAGAAATGGGCTAAGTCCCGAAATAAAAAGTAGTCTGCCCAAGGATTTCTTCTTTGCGATTGCAGACGGTCCTTCGCGGTCGCGAAGACCAACTATTCCAGCTAACCAAAAACTGCCACTCCCGTTAACGACAGACCGGTTGCATTCGCAATGCACCACCTCCCACCCTTCCGCATTCGCGATCCCCCAGTCACGTTCGCGAAGGCCATTCGCCTACCAACCTAACTCAGCCCCTCCCTTATTCGCCTTCACGTAGGTGGATCCGTGTTTGCAAAGAAGAGCCATATCCTCCATCGCATTCGCGGGGCCCTCCTCGCGTTCGTGAAGTGTAAATTAACAGGGCCCTCACTAGTGTTGTTCACAATCACAGGACTACTTTCACGGTCGTGAAGCACCAGCACACCAGCAATTTCAGCCAACTTTAACTTTGCTCGGGGTGGTCCGAACACACCCGAGCCACCTCGGGACCCCCTCCAAATATACCAGTAAGTCCATAAACATACTACGGACCTACTGAAAGTCTAAGAACATGTAAAATAATATCGGAACCAAGAATCACACCTCAAAACTGAATTAATCAACTTCTAAACTTCAAACTCATTTCAACCAACTCCGAACACGACAAACTATACTTAGACAACTCGGAATGATGCCAAATTGTATGCATAAGTCACAAATCTCAATATGAACCTATTCCAAGGCTTAAAATTTCAAATGTATATCGATAACACTAAAGTTTATTTCAAATCAAACTTAGGAAATTCTAAAACCTTCAAGACTTCAACTTTCAACAATGAGCGCTGAAACACTCCCGGTCCACCCTAAACTCGACCCGAACATAGGCTCAAGTCCAAAATCATCATGAACACCTATTATAACCTTAAAATCCTGATTCCGAGATCGTTTACTCTTGTGTTGACTCAAGTCAAACTTGACCACCTTAGTCTACTATTATGGAACTAAGTATTTCGAATTCAACCCGAACCCTTCCAAAACCAAACCAACCATCCTCGCAAGTCATGAAATAGTAAAAGCATATACGGGAAGTCTTAAATAGAATAAGGGAGATTAATAAGTTTAATACATGATAACACACTTCGAGATTTCTATGGTAATACCATTTAGACCACATGCCTTTGTAATCACTATGTTTTTCATGGTATCATTTACCTCTATCAGCCTAATTCTATGAGTACCTCCAAAGGTTATATCATGCATAGATGTAAGGAGATTCAAATGTCATTCTCATGATCCGAGTTCAACAGTTGATCAAAGTAGTTATTCCATCTCTCCTTGATCTTATTATCTTCGGTCAAAACTTGTTGAGAATCGTCTTTAATGCACTTCACCCCATTTAAGCCTTACTTATTTTTCTCTCGGTCGTGTTAGTTTAAATATTTGTTTCTCCCTTCTCGTGTAAGTAGATTTTAATCAAGACATATAGGGCGTCCACTCGAGTGTTACTAATAGTTCCCTTCTTAGCTTCCCTCTTAGACCTCATATACTTTTAAAAGGTCTGTTCATATTCTACTTTTGCTAAATTTCACTAGCACTCTCTTTTAGCTCTAACAACTCTTTGCACCACCTCATTCCACCACCAGGATTATTGTATGTCAACGTCTTAAACCTTTAGACATATCTAGTGGCGTTTACTACTTTTTAATGCAACTGAATGCTTCCTTCCACGGGATGCATGTGTTCCCCTATATGTCCCATGCTCACTAAACTCGTAATTTTTCTTGAAACTCTAACTGGCCAGTGCCCTTTGATGTCCGCCATCGAATCTCAATTGCTTGCAAATAGTCTTCTTTCTACTCTATCCTTGCGCTTTACATCCAAGACCACCACTCTATGTTGGGTGTTTATTGCTTCTTCTGGTATACAGTCCTTACATGTGGTTCTATCATGTTTTCTAGTAAGAATACAGTCTATTTGACTATGGTTATTCCAACTCATAAATATTAGGTGAAAATCTCTCTTAAATTCCAAATACCATAACCATTTTTCTCATACTATAACCATATTCACATGTACATGGTCAAAAACGTCGTTAATTTACCTACATTACCATTTAAATCTCCCCTAATATAGATCTATCGGTCACCGGTAAATTTCCTTGACCGATGTCCATATCTTTCCAAAGTTTTATTTTAGCTTTCGCATCTATTCCTATTTGCGGATCATAGACACTAATGACATTGATTGTCTTATTTCTGCATACAAGATTTTATGCTATTATCCCATATCTAACTAGCATTACCTCTACAACTTTATGATACAATAATTTCCATCCCATTTTTATTTTTATATATTCCCAGTACCATAATTTATTAAACCATATTGCCTATCTCTATAGCTTTTTGCCTTGTCTATATAGTCATATGTAGGCATGCAATATCAACTTTCCTCCTTCTTAAGATATGTACTAATTCCATCGACATTCTGTTATAAAAAAAATAGGATAATACATAAATATACCCCTAGGGTTGAACCATTTTGCTAGATACACCCTTTATCTTTGTGGGCTATGTTTGAAGTGTAATAAAGAAAATCTTTTGAGCTTAGCTCACACTTATTGTGTTTTTTAGTCTCCACAGTGCGTGAAAAGTTTTAAAATACCATTTTTTTAATGTTTTTTCCTCTTTTCTCTTTCTTCTTCGTGAAAGCCTTAAAATATCTTCTTTTTTTTCTTTCTTCTTTTGCTATCCCATAACTATTTTTTCAAAGAAACTGTGCAAAAGTTTGAACCTTGACTGATGCAAAGCATCTATATATCACAAATTTCCAATTAAATAAAAGAGAGTAACCTTGATATAGCAGCCATTGTCCGTAAGGCAACCAATGCAAAGCAGATCTTTGTCGAAAAAGTTAATGATTCGAGCAACAAAAGCAAATTTTGTTTTATAATTACGCTTTCTTCTTTTTTCTTAATTCTTCTTTTCTTCCTTTCCTTTCCTTTTTTTTCTTTTCTTTTGTTCTCATTTTTCTTTTCTTACAGTATTGTTTTACCGAAAAAAATCGTGACATCGATGATGCTTTGAATAATGGAAGGGTTTATGATATTACAAAGAAAGGAGAAGAAGAAGGAATGGGTAGAGGAAGAGATGAAATGAAAAGAATTAAGAAGAAGAAATAAAAGAGAAAAATTAAAAATTAAAAATTAAAAAAACAACAAGAAGAAGAATCAGTTGGGGAAAGGAGCTTGGGGAAGGGACAAGCTGGAGAGGAGACTTGAGGGGTGGGGAAAAGAAAAAAAAGAAAAAATAAAAGAAACGGAAAATAAAATAAATAATAAATAAAAGGAAATTATATACTAAAAAACACGTGTCAAAATGTGGTTGGTGCATGTCATATACTCTTTTAATTGAAACTGGTCCTAATCACGTAAGGTGATTGTAACGAATTACACTGAAGGACAGACGGGGCAGAGGCGCAGCAACATGATAGTACATCCACCAAATACCTGGATAACTTTGTGGTCCTTCGTTAGAAATAAGGCAACACCATAAAAAGGCACATAATGAGGAGTCTACTATATAAATGAAGAGGAGACTGGTATGTAGGTTTTATGAAAAATGAGTCTCGTCTTTTATCATTATCATAGGTTTTGTTAGCTCTCGAACCTCCCTCTTTCTGCTATTTTTTTATTTATTTCTCTTTCGGTGTTGTTGCTATCATTCAAGTCAGTGTTGGTTCCTTGAGTCTATAATCATTTGGTTCCACCTGTAGAATCGTCAAATTTATGGATGGGATCAATTCACCCGAGCCTTGCTTGTTCGTTTTAGCCCTACATCGTTGGAGGCACCGAAAAGTTTATTGGCAAAACTGCAAATGTCATCAACGGTGAAAGAATATTTTACTCAGTACGAGAATTTGGTTAATCAAACTACTGATGTGGCCCTGCACATGCTGCTCCATTATTTTACATATAGGTTCCGACATGATATTAAGAGTGAGGTCCTTTCCCTTCAAGCCCAAAACTTTAAATGAAGTTATCCACCTCGCTTTTCTACAATAACAGAAACTTTCAAGCCCAAATGCCTCTCCCAAGCCCACTTCTTCCTTTCGGCCCAATGCCAACTCATACGTCACTTCTTTTCCCAGGTTCAAATCAACTCTTTCACCAAACTCCACCCTTTTCCCCCAAACCAACTACACCTTTAACTAACACCTCTGCACTACCAGCAACCACAATGTTGATAGCCTCGATCCCAGGGCTAGGTTGTGTACCCTAAAAGAAATTATCCCCAATGGAGCTCCAACGCAAATGTGACCTCAATAGTTGCTTCAATTGTGATAGCAAATGGGTCAAAGGTCATCGTTGCACTAAACTGCCGCAATTGTCTCTTCTCATCTTTGACAAAGAACATTCCGACCCTACATTAGACCCACCTAATAATCCTTTTGCTGACTCAATAGAAGAACCACCACCGGTTGAGGATAACCCTATAGCATCTATCAGATACATGGCTTTGTCCGGCGGCCAAATTTTGACCATATTGTATTTCATCGGCTCTGTGAATGGCAACACAATGCAGGTACTTTTGGAAGGGGTAGTACTCAAAACTTCATACACCCTAGAATAGACATATTTCTTAATATCCCAATTGAATATTCATTCAAATCTTCAGTTATGGGTGGAAACGGAAGTCGCTTGAAATGTTTGGGCGTCATCAAGGCCTTGTTTTTAACAATTCAATACTACACTCTTACAGAGGACTTCTTCGTCATTGAGTTCACAGGTGCTGATATTGTTTTAGGAGTAATTTGGCTGGCAACTTTGGGTCGCACCGTTATTGACTATGCCACCCGAGTATTTGAGTTCCAGGCCTAAGGTCAACAGGTCAATTGGACCGGCAATGCTATCCCAGTTGCGAAACAAGTCCAATTGCATGCACATCACTGGCTCAAATCCACAAACTCTTTTTCTTGTTTCTTCCAATTAAACCTAGTGTCGCATACATATTCTTTTTCTACTGACCTACCACCTGACCTCAATAACCTTCTTGATGCTTATTATAATATCTTTGATCAATCTGCATCCCTACCTCCCTCTAGACCATAAGACCACTAAATACCTCTCTTACCAGGTTCAACACCCATTAATGTGCAGCTATATTGTTACCCTCATTTCCAGAAAATAGAAATAGAACGTCTCATTGTTGAATGTTACAATCAAGTATCATACGGCCAAGGTTAAGTTCGTACTCATCTCCTGTTTTTCTCGTTCGCAAGAAGGATTGTACTCGGCATTTTTGTGTTGATTACCAGGCATTGAACTCTATCACCATAAAGGATCAATTTCCAATTCCTACTATTGATGAACTATTTGATGAGTTATACGGTGCTTATTTCTTTTCCAAATTGGACTTACTGCCTAGGTATCATCAAATCAGAGTTCACATGTATGATATTGAGAAAACAACCTTTCGCATGCACGAAGGCTACTATGAATTCATTTTTATGCCTTTTGGTTGAACCAACGCACCATCTAGCTTTCAGGCTACTATGAATTCCATTTTTAAGCCATTTCTTCATCGATTTGTACTCGTCTTCTTAGACAATATTTTGATAAACATCAATTCATGGTCTGCTCATCTTCGACACGTCGAATTAGTGTTTAACTTGCTCAGCAAACACACTTTAGTTGTCAAAATCTCCAAGTGCAAGTTCGGACATGCCTCCATTGACTATCTTGGCCACATCATCTCGGCGAAAGGCCTTCAAGTCCATCCCTCAAAAATCGAAGTCATCAATGAGTGGCCTACTCCTTCCTCTGTCTAGGAGGTACGAGGATTTCTAGGTCTTACCGATTATTATTGTTGCTTTGTTAAAGTCTATGCTCAATTAGCATCTCCACTAACGGATATTCTAAAAAAAGATGCTTTCCGGTGGACTGAGGTCGAGAATACTGCTTTTCTACGATTAAAATAATACTTTGAGCACTATCCCAATCTTATGTTGGCCGAACTTTCAAAAGGTTTTTTTGATGGAAACTGATGCCTCTAGTACTGGCATGGGAGCAATATTGTCTCAAGATCGTCACCCAAATGCATTTTTTAGCCAGAAACCCTCTCCTCACATGCAAGTTGAGTCCACCTATCATCGCGAAATGTTCTCAATCACTCAGACAGTACAAAAATGGAGTCAACTTTCGGGTCGCAAATTGTTAATCTTGACGGATCAACAACCTCTTAAGTCCCTCACCAATCAAGTAATCCAGACCCTGGAACAACAATAATGGCTTTGCAACTCATTGGCTATGACTTTGATATCATTTATAGACCAGAAGAACTTAATTCTACTATTGATGCCCTTTCATGCATCCCTACTTCTCAATATTTCTCCATTGCTTTCACTGAATTTGCCTTGCTGGATAGGTTGCAAAATTTAAACAAGTCTGATCCTACACTATTGGAGCTTCGGCGTCAACGGGAGAATGACCCTGTTCTCTTCCTTATTTATCCTTCCACGAGAGACTCTTATTCTATCGCAATAGGTTGGTAGTTCCACCGAAACAGGATATTCGCCACCTTTTGCTTCATGAATTTCATTCTTCGAAAATTGGAGGCCATTCAGGGATTCCTCGCACCTTCCATACATTATCATCCAATTTTTATTGGCAAGGCATGCGCGCGGATGTTAAGAAATTTGTTCAGGAATGCCAAGCATGCCAACAAATGAAGGATTCTTCTTTGAAGCCAGTAGGGTAGCTTCAGTGTCTTCCCCTACCAGTGCAAATCTTCGAGGAAATCTCAATAGACTTTATCACAGGCTTACCCTCGTCCAATGGCCGTACAACGATTCTGGTAATTGTGGACAGACTCTCTGAGTATGGCCACTTTGTTGCTCTGCCTCATAACGTTTCTTCGCAAAAGGTTGCTGAATTCTTCATCCAAGAATATATCAGACTTAGTGGGTTTCCTTCCATTATCATCACTAACAGGGACCCCATTTTCTTATCTGATTTTTGGAAAGAAATCAACTGACTCCATTGTACTCAATTGGCCAAAGGTTTAGCACATCACCCTCAAACCAACGGCCAAACTGAAGCTCTAAACAAGTGTTTATAAATGTATCTTCCCCTCTTGGCTGCATACCCCTGCTGCTTGGTCTAAACTATTTCCTTGGGCTGAATTTTGGTACAACACTTCCTTTCAAAACAGCTCCAAATTGACTCCTTTCGAGGTCTTGTATGGTAGACCTCCACCCTCTATTATCCGATTTGTGGTTGATTCCTCTAGTAATCCAGCTGTGGTGGAATCTTTTCGATAACGCGATGAGACATTAGCCCTCCTCAAAGACAATCTCAAAGTATCCCAAGATAGAATGAAGCTCCTAGCTAACAAAGGTAGGCGTGACATTTCATTTGCAGTAGGTGACTAGGGGTACATAAGGTTGCCTCCATATTGTCAACTCTCCATCCGAATTCAATGCTATAGAAAGCTAAGCAGACGCTACTTTGGTCCATTTCAAATCATCCAAAGAATTGGAGAAGTTGCCTATAAATTGGACCTTCCTGTTTCATCAAGGATACACAACGTCTTTCATGTGTCTGTTCTACGTAAATGCATTGGTCAACCTTCACAACAAGTCACCCAATTGACTTGTTGGATCACTCCTCTTCCAAGATTCTGTATCCCAAGAGTGTTTTGCAATATCGTGTAATCTCCAAAGACAGCCATCAAGTTGATCAATGTTTAATCAGTTGGTGGGGATTGTCGTCCATTGAGGCTACTGGGAAGACACTTTATCTATCTAACGCACTTCCTGAGATAAACCTTGGGGACAAGGTTCAACTTCAAGGGGATGGTAATGTAACGAATTACACTGAAGTCCAGACGGGGCAGAGGCGTAGCAGCAGGATAGTACATCCACCAAAATACATAGACAACTTTATGGTCCCTACAAAGGACAAGGCTGCAATTTTCGTTAGAGATAAAGCAACAGCATGAGGCACATAAGGAGGAGTCTACTATATAAATGAGGAGGAGACTCGTATGTAGGTTTTATGGAAAATGAGTCTTATTTTTTATCATTATCATAGGTTTTGTTAGCTCTGAAATCTCCCTCTTTTTGCTATTTTCTTCTTTATTTCTCTTTCGTTGATGCTGCTATCATTCAAGTCAGTATTGGTTCCTTGAGTCTGTAATCATTTGGTTTAGGCTACTACAAGTTTATACTAGTGATACTCACTACACTTCAAACAAATGCAGCAGGATCATACGACATCACGCAAAGTATGAGTGTGCAATTAATAAAGTGGGATAACCTCGAGAGGTAAATTATGTATGATCCCAAAAAAACCTAAGTTCCAACTAATTACCCATTTTCGACTCTCTTGCACTAGCTTCTTACCCTCATCCGCCCATAAGGCAGGAACACTTTCCAATTTGTACCACAATCGAATGTCGATACAGTAAGACTACTGTATCCATATTTTCCTTAATGTGAGCTCCTTTTTCATATTTTTCACTACATCTGCAAGCTAATGTGGAGAAATAAATTTCTTTACCCATGGGGTTCATGACGCTGAAATCCTAACTCATATTCCCTCACATATAGGAAGCAGAAATATTATGAAATCCCAAGCCTATTTTTTATCATATTTGAGTGCCGATGTAATGCGTGCGTAAATGAGCACGTCCCATCGAACAATATCTGTATTATTAGAAACCCCGTAAGAGCTCTAGCGATCAAGAAGGCGATTTGGAGGCGATTTTCTCCGTGAGAGCTTTCATGGCCTCGTCGGTGGCGACCAGCCTCCTACGGGGGTTGGTTTGCCTTCTAATCCTATTCTCCAGCTTGTAAACAATAATCCAGCCGTTAATCCACCCCTAGATTTCTCAAAAATCCTTAAACCCACTTCATTAAATACCCTCATTCACGTAAACCCTACTACAAATAATCCACCTGCTATTTCGATCAAACCAGTTACGTTTCTGCACGGGCAGCCTTTAGTGAAGTTTACAGAAGAAGAAGTCCATTGTATGAATATCTTTGAAGGCCTTCAGTATCCTGTTGTTGGGAAATTTTTGTATGGATGGCCTGAACTCCAAGAGTTACGCATAATTATTCCTCTTCAATGTGGTGTCAAGGGTGAGTGCAATGTAGGTTTTCTGAAAGACATGCATGTGTTAATTCGTTTAACATTGTTTGAGGATTTTATTAACTTCACATCAAAAGAAGCGTATTATTTGAAGGCAAAGGATGGATATGAATACCAGATACGACCATTAATTTATGATTCCAAATTCAACGTTAATGAAGAAACTCCAATGGCAATGGCTTGGATTTCTTTTCCCAATCTGTTACCAACTATTTTTTTTAAAAGAATGCTTGTTCTCATTGGCTTCTGATGTAGGAAAGCCTTTACATCTAGATATGGCCACCATTAACAAGACTAGACCTAGTTGTGCAAGAGTTAAGGTCTTGATCAATTTGTCAGCTGACCTTCCTAAGAAGATGCGCATGGATATCAAGAATGCAGCTACAGGTGAAACGAGAATGGAATGGGTTAAATTTCAGTATGACTACATTCCTAAGTACTGTATGGAGTGTAGATTACAAGGGCAAAATAAGGAAGAGTATAGAAGATTACATCCTGAGTTAATGGAGGAAAATAATAAAGGGAAGCAGGTAGAGCAGGAAACTGTTAATGGCAACAATAAACCTCCATTGAAGATCCTTACTAGTGGTAAAGTAATGGGCAATCCAGTGGAACAATGGAAGGAAGTGAAGGATAATAGAGTGAAGGTAGTGAATAATGATAAGGGTGTTCAAAATACTACTGGAAAGAAATAGTTCCAACTAACAAGGAAGCAATAACACAGATTCAAACTACCAATCAATTTGCTATTTTGGAGGTTGAGGAAGGAGAAAAAGAAGTTGACAATCAGTTAGCCTTGGTAGAGAAGGATACAGTTTCTTGCAGCCCTAGGGCTAATCCTTCGAGTGCTAGGAAAGAGTTGAATCTAGCTGCGCCTGTTTTTAAACCTACATCTACTGGGAATGGGGTATCAAATTAAAGGAAGGTGAGAATGCAAGTATAAATGGTAAGGGCAAGGATAAGGAAGCGGCACAAGTGAAAGAGTCTACTGCTCAATGGGTAAGTCGAGCATTTGGTACAAACAATGAAGACAATGCTACAAGTGTTAACAATGAGATAGTATGTGATGATCTAGCCAGATTTGTCACCACAAATCAATCATGCCAGAAGGTTCTTCCTCAAGCTCAAGATACTGATACTGGTAATGTGCAATTGGAAAAGCTTTGGGGTAATCAAGTAGATGAATTCTCATAACAAGAAGGGGAAATACGGGATGATGATGAACAGGATCATGTTGAAGAAGATGATCAATCAGTGGACAATGATGCTAGGGAAGTGACAGATGATGAAGATGAACCAGCAAAACTTAATGATGATACCAAAGGTAATGATGGGGTGAAGGTGGATGTTGTAGCTGATGAGGCAATGTAGAAATCAAGAGTGCAAGATAGCAGCTCAAAGAACCAAGAAACCTTACCTAAAACAAATGAAATAGTTCCTACACATAACCCTAACCCTAGCCCGGCAAGAGATACCTTAGCAATAATGAACCCTAATGTGGCCTCCAAGATTAAAGGTGCAGTTTTAGCTGGAAAGAAGATGCCAGTGGTATCTAGTTCTCCCAGAAAACAACCACGGAAGGTAGCCAAGGAAAATATGAACAAACTATTGATCCCAAAACCAGTACATAATCAAATGGTGCAGCAACATGTAGCAATGGAGGAGGAAGATTAGGATGATAGAGGAGGTAAAGACCTTGATGAGGAACCTACTACTTAGAATTTCATGAATGCTGCAAGACAAGGTGATTTATCTCTAAGGCAAATTGACAAAGTTAAATCAGTGGGTAGATGAAGAAAGAAGAAAAAAAAGGAGATTTCTAGTGTTCCTAGCACTGGAGTACAAACAAGAAGGACTCTGACTAAATCCAGTAATTAGTAATGAATGCTATTATCTGGAACATAAGTTTAGTCAATACTAAGAAATCTTTTGAAAGGCTTGTCACAATGCATAGACAATATGAATTCCATTTTATTGGGTTGATGGAGTCAATGCAAAATTCTAACAAAGTGGAGGAATATAGAAGAAAACTAGGAATGCATCATGCTTTTGTTAATGTATCTAACAAAGTGTGGGCATTTGTGGAGGAAGATTATCAGATTTAGGTGTTATTTGACATGGAACTATAACTTACACTTAGGCTATTTAATCCACAGTCTCAAAAGGATTTTATAGTCATATTAGTGTATGCCAAATGTGATACTATAAAGAGAATCGAGTTATGGGACACAATGCATGCACTAGCCCAAGATATGACTCTTCCATGGCTTGTTGTAGGGGATTTTAATGTGATAGTTGATGAGGAAGAAATGGGGGGGTTGCCAGTATCTATGAATGAAATTGAAGACTTTAGACATTGTATTAACACTTGTAACCTATTTGATCTGGGTTTCAAGGGTAGTATTTACACATGGTGGAATGGTAGAACTGATGATGATAATATTTTTAAGAGATTGGATAGGTGTTTAGCTAATATAGAGTTCTAACATATGTTTCCTGGACTGGAGATCACACACTTGTACAAAATTGGATCGGATCATTTTCCTATGATCATTTTTTGTGATCCTAATTCAGCACCTATCAAGAAGTCTTTCAAGTTTTTGAAGTTCCGGATTAAACATGACACTTTCTTGGATGTTGTCAAAGAAAATTGGCGGGCAGATTTTTGTGGCAATCCATTCTTAGTGTTTAATCACAAGATGAATAAAGCTCTATCATTGTGGAGCAAAGCCACTTGTGGTAATATTTTCAAGAAAGTTTCTAGCTTAGAGGAGCTTGTTGTTGTACATGAAACTCAGTTTGAGTTAAATCCAACGCCACACAATAGAGAGAGGTTGTTGAAGGTACAAGCTGACTGCATTAGATATCTTCATTTGGAGGAGGAGTTCTGGAAACAGAAGGCTGGGATGAGTTGGTTCAATGATGGGGATAGAAATACTAAGTTTTTTTATGCACAAGTCAATGGAAGAAGAAAGAGGCTGCAGCTAAGAAGAATCCAAAACAGTAGAGAACAATGGATGGAAAACAGTGATGATATGGCCGAGGAAGCAGTTAATTTTTTCCAGGAACAATTCCATGAAGATCAAGTTCCTACTGCTTTTGGCATCCTTGATCATGTACCTAGCATGGTAGAGTTGAGGCATAATGAAGAACACATCAAACAGCCGACTAAAGAAGAGGTTAAGAAGGCAGTATTTAGGCTTAATGGGGAGAGTGCTGGAAGTCCGGCTGGTTTCAATGGGTGCTTCTTCCAAGCCTGTTGGGATATTATTGGGGATGATGTGTTTGACATGGTTCGAGCTTTCTTTAATGGGCAAGAGCTACCTAAGTTTGTGACTCATACAAACTTAGTTTTATTACCAAAGAAGAAGGAAGTCACAACATTCTCAGACATGAGGCCAATAAGTTTAAGCAACTTCATCAACAAAGTGCTCTCAAGGGTATACATGAGAGGATGGTTGATATTCTTCCTTTATTAATCTCGGATGAGCAAACTGTCTTTGTAAAGGGGAGAAGCATTGTGGAGAATGTGTTACTTACTCAAGAGATCATCATTGATATAAGATTGAGAACTAAGGCTGGCCCTAATGTGGTGATCAAACTTGATATGACAAAAGCTTATGATAAGCTTTCATGGCTTTTCTTGACAAAAGTTTTGAGGAAGATGGGATTTTGTGAGAGGTTCATTGGTTTGATCTATGGAATCATGTCTAATAATTAGTATTATGTGCTCCTTAATGGGCAACCTTATGACTTCTTCAAGTCAACTAGAGGGGTTAAGAAAGGAGATCCATTATCTCCTACACTGTTTATTCTGGCAGCTGAAGCTTTGTCTAGGGGTTTGAATGATCTTCACATGAACCTGTATTTTGTGGATTTGGATTACCTAAATGGAGTCCAAAGATCAACTATTTGGCTTATGCAGACGACACTATCATTTTCTCTTCTTCTGATGCTATATCCCTACAGCTTGTTATGGAGGTGTTAAGTACTTATGAAGTTTCTTCTGGGCGGTTGATTAACAAGGCAAAATCAGCTATCTATATGCACCATTCTACTAGCTTGGAGGTGATCAACAAAGTCCAAAGAGTTACTGGCATAAGCAGGCAAGACTTCCCTTTCACGTATTCTGGTTGCCCCATATTCTATGCTAGGAGGAAGATGGACTATTATCAAGGAATCCTCAACAAAATCCTTGATACGTTGCAAGCTTGGAAAGGTAAACTATTGTCGATTGGAGGTAGGGAAGTACTCATCTCTCATGTATTACAAATTATGCCAATACATCTTCTATCTGCAAGGAATCCTCAAAAGTATGTTATTGAAAAGCTACATAAGATGTTTGCACAATTCATTTGGAGTAGTGTTGTTGGAGGTAAGAGTAGACACTGGCTTCATGGAACAATTTATGTCTGCCATTTGATGAAGGAGGTGTGGGTTATAGATCATTATATGATGTTTCCAAGGCTTTATTTTGTAAGCTTGGTGGAATCTTAGAACAAAACCTACACTATGGAGTGCATTTATGAGCCAAAAATATTGTAAAAAGATTAATGCTATAGTGGTTCATTGGAGAAGGGGCTCACATGCATGGAGAAGAATGTTGGAATGTAGGGATTTGATTAAGCATCAAATTGTATGGCAACCAAGAATGGGATCATCACTATTTTGGTTTGATAACTGGACAGGATTGGGAGCATTATATTTTTTTACTCCACCAGACTTCTATTGTGATGAGTCAGTTCATAACATATACGATGTAGTCCAGGATGGTGCTTGGGATGAAGAGAGAATTAGGGAGATACTTCCTGAAGATTTAGCAATGCATATTCTGGAAAATGTCAAGCCTTCATTGCTTCATGATACCCTTGACAAAGCATATTGGATGTTGGAGACTAAGGGGGATTTTACTGTCAAGTCTTCTTGGTAATACTTGAGAAGAAGGGATTCTAGCATTGTGTATAGGAACATGTGGGTGAAGGGACTTCATTTCAAGATATCTTTCTTTATGTGAAAAATTTGGAAGGGAAAGATAGCACGGGATGATTGACTTAAAAGATTGGGTTACTTCATGCCTTCTAGGTGTTGGTGTTATGCAAATCCGGATGAGGAAACATTAGGGCATCTGTTCTTCAGGTCGTATGCAGCTACTAAGGTATGGTCTTACTTTTTCTCATTTGCAGGATTATCTTTAGAAGGCCTAAACTTGCACCAAGCAGTGGTGAAGTGCTGGACAGTCCAGGTGGTGCCAAGGCTCAAACCAATTTTCCAAGCTTTGCCTTGCATAATTATTTGGGAGTTGTGGAAAAGGAGAAACAATTATAAGCATGGGGACAGTGTGACTATTAGTAGGGTCATCTATCAAGTGTCATTTACTCTACAATCTCTTGTAAAAGTTAGAAAACCTGGGATTAAACGTGTACCACATAGGTGGCCTGATCTTTTGCATTTGATGGAGAACTACTCTCCCAGATTGAAGGTTCACAAAGTATTTTGGGAATTTCCTAGTGATGGTTTGGTTAAAGGTAAACACTGATGGTGCATAGAGGGGGAACCCTGGCAGGAGTGCTATTGGTTTTTGTGTTAGAAACGAGCTTGGAGATGTGATACATGCGTGTGGAAAGAAGATACAGGAGAGTACAAACATGGTGGTTGAAACTTTGGCTATTATGGAGGCCCTAAGGTATTGTGCACATCATCACTTTACTCACATTTGGTTGCAAACTGATTCCATGATGCTGAAAAATGTTATTGAAGCCAACTAGAAACCACCATGGGTGATTGTTAATTATTTGGAGGAAATAAGGGAGATTATGGAGGCATGTACTACTAGGGTATCACACATATTTAGGGAGGGGAATAGATTGGCAGACCATCTTGCCAATTATGCACTTGACAATGGCACATTTGAGTGTGATAGTTTCGTGCAATTGGATGTACAAGGGAGAAGAATTGTTAATGATGATAAACTCCAATGCCCATACTTGAGAATATGAGTTGCCAGGAGTTAGGAGGTGTAAAGGAGGAGTGTACAAAGGGGAAGGAGGAGACTATGTGCAAGCTACGTGACCATTATGTTCAAATCTTATGGGGGCAGAACATGATGTGCTTTTTACTAACATAGTTTTCTTTTTTGCAGGAAACGATACTGTATCCGTGCCCTATCTCTTGATCAACCTTCAAATGGTGGTATTAGTACTTGTTACTCAATCCATTGGGGGGGAAGCAAGGATAGGCACAAACATGGACGAAATGGTGATCATGGAACTCATGAGAGGTATGTGCTTTTGGCATTCAATAATGGGACTAATGGATGTATTGTGGAGTAAAAACCCAATGAAATTCATTACTACAACATCCCAAGAATGGCGCCATGTAAAGGTTTCATTTGATTACTGCTATACGTTACACGCATTCCTCACCAAACAGTGCATGCTCAACTTCGTGCACAAATATTGGACACTAGAGACAATATGGAATGCGTGTGGTATTGCTATTTTTTATGGCAAAGCAGGTACTCTTCTGGGTTATAGACACAACGAGGAAGGATTGCTTGATTGTGTTTGGTCTATCAAATGGAACAAATCACACGGAAAGGAGACGAGGCAGCAAAAACACGAGGCAGGTGCATTTGGAGTGCATCTACTGAGTGTTAGGCCATTTGTGCATGATCAATTGAGCTGTCTACACAAGGAAGATGCAGATGGAGCTTTGGAATGAATTTTACTGGATTCACACGAAACGCAATGCACAAAATTAGATTCATTATGCACATGTCCAGTTTTGCAAAAGGATAGTGGTCAAATGCGCAACAAAGGAATACGACATATGGGCCTCAACTGTGATGACTTATCTTGGCTAGTTTTATAGTTCATTTTCTTATCTTTTTTAGAATGCATCATGTACTATCATTGTTGAGTTCTTCGCTCAACTTTGATAATAGGGAATATGTGGTTGTCAAAGTTTATTTCATTCATTTTGTAAGATCTCATGACGCTATGTTTTTTATTTTAGATATATATAAAAACTAGCCCTAGCACACTGCCTCGTGGATTTGCTAAGAAAATACATATATATATACCAATTTACACGGTACTATATACATTTTCATTCGTCAACCTAAAGCTTGTATATCATTAATCTCTTATGTTCCAATACAAATTCCTCCAATAAGGTTTGAGCAGAAAAGGCAATATTCAGCCTTTAAAACTAAATTTTCCTTTAAGCACTTAAAATATTATGGATACAAAAGTTTACAACTTTACACTTCACAAATTACAATAAATTGTCCTTCGCCATAAGCTTTTTATTGAAAGAGAAACCTAGGAATTCACAAGCTCTAAACAAACTTTACTTCTTCTATTTAAAAGGAATAATGAGGTAAATAAGAAAAGTAAAAACAAGGCTATGCTGTAGTATGATACACCCAAAAAGGAAATAAAAAAAGGACAGACATAAAATGTTATGCGAACTAAAACACATAGGTGGACATAAAACTTGAGAATGCAGTCACATCCGTCCAATCTGGAAAAAGGCCTTTCAATTTAGCAGCAGACTCTGTCAAATACTGGTCCACTACAGCCACATCAACACTAATGGCATCTGAACTGCTCGCCTGCACGATAATGAAAGCAACAACAGATTTAAAAACAAAAAAACAAAAAAACAAAAAAACAAAAAAAAAGGAACAATAGATGATATCAACATGGAAATGTTCAAGAATTTCTAGATATGCTCATGTGAATAATAACGAACATTCCACTTGTTGGCTGAGTAGACAATGGGTTGTCTGGTTGGAAGTAGGACCGAAACTCTGAGGACATAATTTAGTTAATAGTATTTCAATGTCGTTTTGGACAAATATTAAATCCACTAGTAGTCTCTACATTTACAATTCTGGTGACAAAAGGATATTGATTTAGCATCTGATACTACCAATGCCTCCCCACTTTCACATTGTAACGTCTCAACCCCTTATTTCGAGTTCTAATGCCTCATCCCCAGATTTGAGACTTCCCATAGGTTTGTATGATGTTTTGGGACTTACGAATATGAATGATTTTGACACCGAGGGGCTCAGGGCATTTTGACACCATTTCATGTGACTTGAAAGTTTAAGGAATTTTAGTAGCAACTCTACCCCTTGATCTAGTATTTGTGCTTCGTTTCATGTTTCGAGATCTTGGATAGGTCTATAGTTAGTTTGGACTTATCGGAATAGTCTGGATGGGTCCTGGAGAGTGAGTTTCGGGCAATTCAAAGTGAAACTAGAAAGTTGTAGAAAATTGCAGGCAACAGGAACCGGAGGTGCGACGCACCTCCATCGCACATGACCCTTCATCGGGGTTAAGGAACACGCATGTCCATCCCCCTCATGCCAAACTTCTGAATTTTTAGGTTTTGTATAATTTGTATAAATAAACCCCATTTCGTAATTTTAACTCATTCTCACTCATTTTGGAGACTTGAAAGCTCGAGTTTCGGGGATTTTGAGCAAGATTTTCATTTCGGAGATTGAGGTAAGTGATTCTAACCCAAATTTAAGTATACCATGAATCTATCATTAATTTAATCTTAGAAACATGAATGCGAGATAGAATTTGATGAAACTTTGGAGAAGACTAAGAATCACTAAAATATCAAATTGAATCCTAAAATGGACTTAGATTGAAATTTAAGCATAGATTTAGATTGATGAGGTAAAAGAACAACGAGATTTGACTTTGATTTTGGAGTTTGACCATATGGTCTCAGATTTGATTTTGAGTTGACTTTTGACTTAGCCCAAGATTTAAATTTTTTAATTGAGTCCAATAGTATTATTTGACATAGTTGAATACTCTTATGATTAGATAGGTAGTTTGGCAGATTTATACCTAGGCAAGGGTGTTCTCGCAGAGTAGAGCTTGTTTGGACGAGGCAAGTTAAGGCTTTGACCTCAATAGCGGAATGTTTCCCTAATCGATCTTGTTTGTTAAATATTACGTGAATGGGGGTAACATATATGCAAGATGATGTACTTTCAAGGTTTTGCACCTCTCAAGCACAAAGAATAGAGAAAAACAAAAGCACCTCGCTAAAGATATTCACAAAACTAGCAAAAACATTCTTCAAACTCACGTGAGAAGAATGTAAGATGTAAAAAATCATACTCACCCGTTCCTCAATCCCGCGAGATTGCAAGAAGCGTTAAATAAAGAAAGAAGAGTCAACCAAAAGAGAAATCACGTTTTCGAAGCAAGAGCTTAGAAAAACTAATCACCAATGTTTATTTTCAGCATATTAAGCCTTTAGAATAGGCCTTACAATGAGTAAAATTGATAAGGTTAAGAAAAACTAATCTTATTTAAACTAGAATAAGAATAAGGTTAAGAAAAACCTACCTAACTTAAATAGAAAAAACCATTCTAGAAGGAATGGAATACCAACTAACAATTCGTTTGACTCAATCTCAAGTCTGACTAGAACTATAAATATAATCATGCTAAAACAAGAATTAAGAAATCATAATCTTTAAGGAAAAGAAATCCTAATCTAAAAGGATTCTTGGACTTATTCAATTTCTTGAGATTCTTGGGCCTCAATTGGACTAAGGCTAATTAGTGTAAGCACTTTAAATTCGCGCCCCAATTCTCTAAATCCATTGGCACCTTCGTGAGCCCAATAAGCCTCCATTGTTGTAGAAAATATGATCTCCACTTGTGCTTCTCTAGCATCACGATTTGAGCTTGTATTTTCATCATTCTCCCCTGGTTGAAAAGGACTCGTCCTCGAGTCATCGAAATAGGGAGCAAGATGTGCTACATTGAAGATAGGTGATACTTCAAAGTCATTGGGAAGCTCCAAGCGATAAGCATTATCACCCATCTTTTGCAACACCTTAAAAGGTCCATCAGCTCGCTCTTGTAATTTCGGAAACTTGCAGTTTGGAAATCTCTCCTTACTCAAATAAACCCAAACCAGGTTGCCTTCCTTGAACACCATATGTTTCCTATGAGTATCAACCTTTTTTTAATATTTAGCATTTTGCTTCGCGATATATGCCCGGACTATCTCATGTAGTTTCTTGAGTTGCTTCACTCGATCAGCAGCATCTGCACTAAAAGAATGAGAAACAAACAAAGGGGAAAGATCAAGTAGTCCAAGAGAATTCTTACCATAGACGACTTCGAATGGACTCTTTCCCGTTGCGCAGTTGGTTGACTTGTTGAAGGCAAACTCAGTAGTAGGAAGTAACAATTCCAACTCTTTGAGATTCTTCTTTCTTAACCCACGAAGCAAAGCACCTAAACTTCGGTTTGCCAATCAGTTTGGGGATGATGAGAAGTGCTAGGTGTTAGCTTAGTACCAAGTTTAGCCCATAAAATCCTCCAAAAACGACCTAGGATTCTCGAATCCCTATCTGAAGCAATAGTTCTGGGAATTCCGTGCAATTTCACAATATTAACAAAAAAGAGATCAGCAATATTTGTTGCATATGAAGTCCTATCACAGGAATAAAGTGAGCCATCTTCGAAAATTGATCAACAACCACAAATATGGAATCCTTACCCCTTTGAGTCCTTGGAAGGCCCAACACAAAGTCCATACTAACAACTTCCTAAGGTTGAGTAGGAATTGGCAGAGGAGTGTAAAGACCGAATTACTTTTGTGCATTTTTGCCTTTATATTAGTTTCACATCTTTCAACCAGCTTATTGATACCCCGAACCATCTTACGTCACTAGAAGTTTTCTTGAACTAGGCGTAGAGACTTTGTTTGCCCAAAGTGGCCAGCTAGCCCTCCATCGTGGGACTTGTGAAATACAAAGTTGCTTACCATAATAAAGATAATCACCCCTAAGCACAAACGTATGTTGAGGACCCTCCCAGCTAGCGGTGGCAAAATGTTCAAAGAAAACAGTTATTCACTCATATTAACCATTAAAAAATGGGTTGAATAATAAACTTTTTAAAAAACAAGTCAAATATGAAAAAGAACCATATTATCCACTTAGAAAATGAATAATCAATAGATAACTAATGGATTTAACTTTTACATTTGTAAAGCCTCAAATTGGGGATTTCTCAAGTTTGGGAGACTAGAAATTCTCCCAAAAGTGATCATATTCAAGAAGCCATGAATAATATGGACATCCATATTATCTGTCGGTTAACCCATTTTTTATCTGTATTAAATGTGAATCGGGTCGGATAATATATCCGTTTTTGCACTACTCGTTTCCGAACCGACCCGACCCGCCCGTTTGCCGCCCCTACTCCCAGCATTAACTCCAAATAGCTCTAAAATTCGAATTTGTTGTATATAATTCCTTTATGTGCTCAAAACCTGCAATAGTGTTTTGCATGGCAAAAACAAAATAAGGCTTGTGACTTGATGCATTAGCTACTTGATTGACCTTCCCGACCTTGTGTTTAATAACAAAGTGAAAGGCTTGCAAAAATTCTACCCACTTGGCATGTCTAATGTTGAATTTCTATTGGCTATTCACATACATCAAGGCCTCATGATCAGAATAAAGCACATTGTCGAGTTAAAAGATAGTGACCCCAATGAGAAAGAGCTCTGACAATGGCATAGAACTCCTTGTCATAAGTAGAATACTTTAACTTTGCATCATTCAGCTTCTCGCTAAAATAAGCACTAGGTCTACCTCCTTGACAAAGAACAGATCCAATCCCAAGCATCACATTCAACTTTAAAGATTACATCAAAGTTGGGCAAAGCAAGCACCGGTGCTTAAGTCATCTTTGTGTTAATCAATTCAAAACTCTTTTGCGCAGCATCCGTCTATTTAAATGGGTTTTCCTTCAAACACTCGGTAATAGGAGCAACAAGAGAGCTAAAATTCTTTATAAAACGCCGATAGAAAAAACCATACCATAAAAGTAGCGGATCTCTGTTATGCTTTTTGGAATAGGCCAGCTAGCAATAGCTTCAACCTTTCCTGAGTCGGCATGAATTACCTCATTGGAGACAATATAACCGAGAAAAGAGACTTGCTCAGAAAAGAACTTGCACTTCTTCAAGTTGGCGATGAGGGTGTGCTCTCTTAAAAATTCAAAAATCTTTCTCAAGTGCTTCAAATGTTGTTTATCATCCTTCCTATGGATAAGTATATCGTCAAAATAAACGGCGACAAATTTCCTGAAATATTTGGGTCATGAGTCTCATAAATGTGCTAGGAGCATTAGATAGCCCAAATGGCATAACGAGCCATTCATACAACCCCTTGACAGCCTTGAATACAGTCTTCCATTCATCACCCTCCTTCATTCGAATTTGGTGATAGCCACTCTTCAAATCTATTTTAGAAAATATTTTGGCCCCATGTAATCGATAAAAAAGATCATCAAGCCTAGGAATAGGAAATCTATACTTGATGGTGATCTTGTTAATAGCATGACTATCAACACACATACGCCAAGATCGATCCTTCTTGGGAATGAGCAAGGCAGGTATAACACAAGACTTTCCCTAATTAGTCCACGATCCAATAGTTCCTTGACTTGTCGTTGAAGTTCCTCTTGCTGTGTTGGATTCATTGGATATGATGTTTTATTAGGAAGTGGGGCGCCTGGAATTTGATCAATTTGATGTTAAACTCATCCAATA